ACTTGAAGATGGTCAGGGAACAGTAACTAGCCAGTGTGCAAGTACCTGTCTACCGTCTTCCCCACTCCCCTGCTGCTGTCTGGTACTTGACAAAAGGGTTTTTGTAGATATAATTAAAGTTACTAACCAACTGGATGAAGAGAGGGAGACTCTGAGCAGTTCTGACCTATCAGACCTGCCTTTCAGGAGCAGACTTGTCTCATCTGGAGACGGAGGGGCATGAGGGAGAAGGTAACTGAGGAGACAAATGCAGTCAGCGCTCCATGTCCTTGGGCTCCATGCCAAGTGCAGACAGGACAATGCCACAGGACAGCCATTTATAGTGATCAAATTACGGACAGGTATGAATATGGGCAAAAGGATTCCCACTATTGTGTAAATTGTAATGCACCAATTAAAAAAAAACCAATTATTTCCATAGCATTTCCATCATATTAGAAATGATAAGCAACCTAGAGATGAAGGAAGGCATATGGGAGCATTGCTAGGTTCCATGTGAATACTATCTCCTCACTCAGGGGCACTGTAGACTAGTGTATCTGTAGGGGCCCAGGAACCAATCCCTCAGGGACATTGAGGGATGATTATTTCACTGAAGAACCTGAGAGCAGCCTAAGGGGGCTGAGAGCACCCCTCACCCCCACCAACAGCTGGCCAGAAACAGGAGCATCTGGCACCTAGAATTTGAATATTATGTAGATTTAAGATGGAGTAGAAGATACTGAATTAACAAAACATTTTAGTCTTCTGGTAAATATAAATATACTGAAAAAGATGGTAAAGATGACTTATATTGAAAATAAGACATCTTAATTTATTTTGGAAAATTTTGAAGAAAACCAAGCTGTGTTGACAGGATAGTGCAATACTCCCTATGCTTTGTCTCCAGGATGAAAGCAAAAATATGGTAAGGTATGCTGATATAATCAATCCTAAAACAACAGGGTCATTTTCCTAGAAGGGGAAGCCCATACTACACTATCACCACATGAAAAAACACACAGTAGACTCTAATGCTTAAAATTAGAGTGCATTTACCCTTAATACTTATTATTATTTTTAAGAAGATTTTTTTAGTTGTAAATGGACACAATACCTTTATTTATTTTTATGTGATAGGGGGATCGAACCCAGTGCTTTACACATACATGCAAGGCAAGCACTCTGCCACTGAGCCACAACTCCGTCCCCTTAATACTTACTATTCTGGCACTTTATAGCATGGAATTACAACCATTTTGAAAATTTGTCTTGAAGTCTAAGTTACCCTCTTATTCTAGCTACACTGCTAAATTAAACAGGCTATACTGAAATCCCTTGCTCTTTTTATTTATTTTTTATTGATTTTATTTTTTTGAAAACACAACAGCGGAATGTATTACAATTCTTATTACATAGAGGACAATTTTTTACCTTTGTATAAAGTCCTTGCTCTTTTGAACTTACGGAAAAGAATGACCACTGAGATGAAAGTACTGAAACGCTCCAACAGGAAAAATAGCTCTACAATATTATCTGAAAGGAAACAGACCTAAAACTCCAACATTCAACCTCTACTATCTAAAGCCTTACTCTGAAACTCACATACTGTTAAAAGACTGCAAGATAGGGAACTGAGGTGGTGGCTCAGTGGTAGGGTGCTCACCTAGCACATGTGAGGCCCTAGGTTTGATCCTCAGCACTACATATAAATAAATAAAATAAAGATATTGTGTCCAAGTACAACTAAAAAATAAACATTTAAAAGACTGCAAGATAATACAAAACCAGACATTATTTTATTTTGGCTCAATCAAAATCACTGCTTAATAGAAATAAATGAGAAAATAATTTTTTGTCATTGAATCCACAGATTAAAAAGAAAACAAATAGAATAATAATCTCCCCATTATTCCAAGCAAAGCTCTTACCTGGATGTCAAATTGCCATGCCTTTATGAATATCATGATTGTCAAAAGATCTTAAAAGGGAAATTTTATGCATTTTCTTATGACTTGACTTTCAAAATATATTTTAAATTAATCAAAATAATTTTTTTAGTGCTAAATTATTTTGAAGATATAGAAAATATTTTCTGAAAACAAAAACCTATCTTAAAAATTACAACCTTTTCAGTAAAATGTTACTGCATGACTGAATGCCAGGCAACTAGAGCTCTAACATATATTCTTTTTTTTTTTGAGACTGGGGTGGAGTGATTCTTCTACACTGCCCAGGCTAACTATGTGCCATTGCACCCTATTTTACTCAGTTCTCACAGGAATTCTACTGAGTAGATCTTATTATTTTCTGTTTTATAGATGAGGAAATGGAGGCTGAGAGACGTTATGGAATTTCCTGTATGTGACACTGCAACAAGCAACAGAGCCACAGAAGAACATAGGCCATCTCTCTCATCTGGCATCTGCATCATTCTTCCCCAGAAAAGAACACACCTGGTTCTGCATATTGACTTAGAATTATTCTATTTGACTAGGGGGAAAAATGAAGTCAAGAGAAAAATTTAACAGAAAGCCCATTCTTTTATTTATCAATAACTTACTGAAGTTTCTTTTGGCTATTTTTAGTACACAAAGATATTATCATGTGCTGTGGCACATACCTGTAATCACAGTTACTCAAGAGGCTGAGGCAGGAGGATTACAAGTTTGAGGCCAGCCTGGGCAACTTGGAGACAGCCTGTCTCAAAATAAAAAACAGAAAGGGCTGGAGATATGGCTCAGTATACAGCACTGCTGGGGTTCAACCTCCAATACCAATATGTATATTTTGATATGTATATGTGGGATATATGTATGTCTGTGTGTGTGTTGAGTGTGAATGTGTCTTAATTATTTTTGATATTCTAGTTAAGACCCTACCTCTGCATTTTACATGATGTAAAGTTGTGAGGGGTTGTTCTAAAATGTCTTCATATGTTTACATTTTTTTTTTTTCAATTTACAGGGGAACTGGCTTTCTCTATGACTCTGAAGTCTATAACTGAATTGATATCTCCACCTTTCATTGGCATTAGAAGTAAGGTAAAATAATAAGCACAAAATTAAATTTTACATTTGGCATAACTTCAGTAGTATCCATGACTGTGTGACTGTGGTCTTTTAATAAACAAATTGAAGTATTTGAACAGTGAGCATGCTTTTCAGAAGTAAAGAAATAAATACTGACATTCACTTTGAAAAATCCATGTTTTCTTGGGGGATTGTTGACAATTTCTTTTATTATTATCATCACCATCATCAAAAACATCACCACCAAAACACTAGAAATAAAACTGAGTATCAATAAGTGGGATGCCATCAAACTAATGAGCTCTGCACAGCAAAGAATAATCAAGAGCATGAAGAGAGGGCTTATAGAATGGGGGGATCCTGGCCAGCTATTCCTCCCCTAGGGATTAATATCCAGAATATATAAAGGTCTCAACAAACTTAACCTCCCACAAATTATTAATTAAATGAATAACCCAATCAATAAATGGGCAAAAGAACTAAACAGAAACTTCTCAAAAAAAAAAAAAAAAACACAAATGGCCAACAAATATATGAAAAAAGTTCAACATCTCTTGTAATTAGGGAAATTAAAAAAAAAAAACAGCCTACACTAAGATCTCATCTTATTCTAATCAGAATGACGATGATCAAGAAAAACAATAATACACATTGGCGAGGTTCTGGGGAAAAGGTACACTTGTACATTGTTGGTGGGACTGCAGATTAGTATAACCATTCTGGAAAGCAGCGTGAAGAGTCCTCAAAAAGCTAGGGATGGAACCACCATATGACTAGCTCTCCCACTCCATGGTATTTTCCCCAGAGATCTAAAACTGCATCCTATAGTGATAAAGCCACCTCAATGTTTACAGCACCACAATTTACAGTAGCTAAGTTACGGAATCAACCCAGGTGCCCATCAATAAGTGAATGGATTAAGAAACCTTGGTGTTTATATATACAATAGAGTTCTACTCAGCCATAAAGAATGAAATTATGGCATTTACCAGTAAATGGATGGAAATGGAGAAAATCATGCTAAGTCAAATAAGCCAAACTCAGAAACTCAAGGGTCAAATTTTTTCCTCTCAAGTGCATAAGCTAGAGAAAAATAAAGGAAAGTGGGAGGGAAAGATAGGATATTACAAAGATCAAGGGATATATCAGTAATGTAGAAGGAGATTGAGAGGCAGGTTAGAGGGATGAAGGGGGGGGCAATGCAGAATGAATTCATAAAACACCACCTTCTGTGCATATATATTCCACAGGGAATTCCACCTTTATTTATAAGTAAAAGGAACCAATTAAATATAAATAAATAGCTGAGCAAAAGGCAATCTAGTAGAGTAGAGGAAGGAGAACCAGGAGGGGAGGGAGGACAGCAGGAAAAGGGGCGGGGAAAGATTTTAACATGAAAAAATCCAACTTTTCTCTTCAAGCCCTGGGAAAAACACTAACATTTCAATCACAAACAAGAATGTTTAGATAAGCAAACCAGCAATAAAAATGTGCATGGATATAATATTCTTCCCTCTCCCCCTATAGGAAAACAAATGATCTCAAGAATGATGATTCATAATTTCAGGTTTGTGCTGATTAATTTTTTTACATTCTTTGCATGGAATTCAAAGAGTAGGACAGACAGCCTTCAGCAGGGTTTAAGCTTCAAATTACAATATGGAATAGAGACCATGCATTTAGTAAATGAGAGCAAATACCGCATAAATAGCATTGAACGAAGTTTAAAGACAATGATACTTCAGATCCAAGAAATGCAATTTTCGAGGTTGGGAAAAACACCCAATTTCCCGACTCCACCCTGAGAAACAGCCAGTCATCGCAGCGACCCCGGAAACGCCTTCTCTCGTGTCAGGAAGAAGCCATCTCCCCAAACCTGGGCGCCTGTGGCTGGCCGCCCCGCCCTCCCCGCGCCTCCACCCGCAGGCTGGGAAGCAGGGTACCACCTGGCGTGGCTGCCCCCAACTCTGAGCCTGGGTCGCGCCCTACCTGCTCCTCTCCCGGCCCCAGACACACACGGGCAGCCCGGCTAGCATCTGTCGAGGTACCTCCCAGCAGGGATAAGCGCTGCTGGCTCCGGGGCGAGTCGCACCTCGCCCGCCCAGAGCGGTGGTCCCCAGCGGGGGAGAGGGGGGGGGGGATGCAGGCTCAGCTGCCTGCGGTTGCCACGGCGACGCTCGCGCCTGCGCGGCAGCAGAGTCCCTGCCCAGCCCAGGAGGTGCATCCCACAGCGCAGGGGACCCAGCAGTGCAGAGTGGCCCCTGCTTCCCGCTTCCTTCCCTCCCCACCGCGGCCCGGGTATGAGGGCTCCTTCCTGAAGAACAGCGGCCACGTGCCTTCAGAGGCTGGGGCCCAGCACCCGGTCAAAGGCCTGGGAACTGCCCCTCTCTCCAGCCGAGCCGAAAGCTGACGACTTGCAGCTTTCGGGCTGCGGATGGAAACTCTGATACTCGCCACACAAAAATAAGAGATGGGAGTTAATGCTTTGATTTACTACACATTGATACATGCTATCCTTCAAGATACACTGTCTCAATTAAAAAGATTAAAAATGAGTGACTTGCGTATTCCTATTCACTTCACTACAGCTTCTTTTTTAGATTTGTTCATTATGAGCAGCAAACAGGTACTTCACGCGGATTCGTGTGTTATGTAAAAGAAATGATACTTGCAGAGTTTTAAAACAACCTGATCATCCTTTAATATACCACACAGCACATTTTACCATTTAAAAAAAAGTTGTGATATGCTGGGATTCTTCTAAATTAATTTCATCAAGTGAATAAGAAATTTATCCCAGATCCATTCTTTTTTCCCACAGAAACGAACCATTAATTCCATGATATATGCTACTAAAATATTACACCAACTTTCACTTGTGATTAACATGTAAAACTCCTTTCCAGAGTCATTGCAAAGGGAACATCACAACAATCAAATAGGTGTTTCAGTTAACCACTGATGAAAATAAGGTCCTGTAACTTCTCATTCTAGTTTTTGCCACGGCATTTTTATGTACTAAGAAAGAAAATTATTCTTGATGATTCCTTGAGGGGGAGGAAACATAGGAAGCTGTTTTCTTTCATAAAAGGTTGAAGTAACAGCAGTGGAGCCAGAAATAGGGAACACAGAAACACACTAAACTATAAACACAAAATTCTTTATTTACAGTACATTTCTCTTGGGGTCACCCCCCTACATACACACACAGACAAACTTTAAAGCACATTTTAAACTTAAAAAAAAAAAGAAAAAAGAAAAAGAAAAAAATACTCTTAATTCATTTATTGTAAAATAGCTCTATCTTACAAGTAGCAAAACTAAAAGGTTATTTCTCTTTATGTATTTATTTTTCTCTTAGGAAAAAGGATCCATGCTGTTATAAATCTGATTTTAATCATTATCAAGACTAATTTTGCCTTTGTTAGCAACATACCTACACCATTAATCAGAAAAAAGTTAAGAAATTTTAAATCATAAGACTTCATTTATAGCTTACCAATTATGTACTATTTAAGTTGGATGCAGGATAGCTGTCACTTACTAACAACAGAGGAGTGTGGCTTTTTCTTTTGAGATTATCTAAACTTGTGAAATATGATAAGAGATCCAGGTCCAGGAACTAAGTAATCTGTTTTTTCTTTCAGTGACTTTTAAAAATTATTACTATTTTGGTGCCTGATTGAAAAACACTATAAAGGTTAGTCCCGAGATAAGGTGGCCCCTGGTGGGAATCTATCTGGAAGCTATGAACACTGACAGAGCTCCCACAGAATTTATGCCCTTTCACTAAATGACCTCACATTCTGAACACAGGCATGTTTAAACAGACATTATTATTATTTGTGTGTGTGTGTGGGGGGGGGGGTGCTAGGGATTGAACCCAGGACCTCATGCATGCAAGACAAGCACTCTACCAATTGAGCTATATCCCCAGCCTCAGACATTAATATTTAATTCAGAATTCTGAGAACATAATCTATAAAATCTTTTTTTTTTTCTGAAACAATTTTCCAGTATATTAATTCCTCTATATGAAACCTACCTTTCCAGATAGGTAGAAACGATACCTGCAAAAAGTTCAGAAGTCTACTCAAACATTTAAACTCACATGTGAAAACATTTCACAATATCACATCTAAGTTGCACAGAAGACCCCAGTGATCACTAGGAAATCTACCACAGTCCAGTTTCTCCAACCCAAGGAGGTCCAAACTTCGGGGAATAATGTGGCCCTCTTCTGCTGCTGCTCTGAAAAATATCCGATCAAAACGAAGCTTACAAGCGGCAGATATTCCAAGATTGGAGTTCATCTGTGTGTCCCATGTGTACTGGCAATGCTTAGGTTTGCCCAAAAACTCCCACACATCCAAGATGTTGTCAGGTAACCCACCACATTTAGTGACCTGAAAAGAAGAAGAAGAAGAAAAAAAGGATGATGATTCACACTGTTTTTTTTTTTCTTATTTAAAAAAGTGTTTGCTATTATCATATCTATGTGTAACATTTTAAACCAGAATGCCAAAAATGATTTGTTAATGCTTAATGTGATATAACTAGAAACATAATAAGAAGCATAATGCTACAGGGTAATACATAGGTAATATATAAATATTGAGAGAGCTATAGAGGTTCAAAATTTGTCCCTTCTCTTCTGCCATGAATACTAATTCTGGGTGTCAGATAAAATACAGAAGGCTGAACACTAAGGCTTCAGTTATTGCTGTTAGTTTTTGAAAACTGAACTTACATGAGAAGGAAAAAACTACTACACTACAAATTTAGACATAGAGCATTTATATTTTAAGCACACGAACAAAATTGAGCTTTCTCCCATTCAAATCCAGGATTTAAAAATTTTTTGTGGCCTGGGCATAGCTCAGTAATAGAGTATATGTTTGCATGTTTGAGGCCCTGGGTTCAATTCCCAGCACCAAATAAATAAACACAAAATAAAGTTGTATCTGTTTATAGTAAAATCTGTACTACACAAAGTTTATCATTCTAGCCATTTTTAAGAACACGATTCTTTGAGATTAAGTATATTCACATTGTTGTGCAACCATCACCACCATCCATCTCTAGACCCTCTCCTCTGTATGAAACTTTATATCCATTAATAACACCAATTCACAATTTCTGTGTCCTCCCAGTCCTTGGCAGTTGTCATTCTGTTTTTCATGTAAGAGAAATAGCATAATATTTTGAACTGCGTGGACTGGCTTCATTCAGTTAGAATAATTTAAGATTTATTAGCGTGTGGCATATGTCAAACTTTTTTTTTTTTTTTTTAATTTTATTTTTGTGGCACTGGGGATTGAATCTGAGCTACCACCGAGTTATATCTGGAGCACCCCTATCCTTTTCTGAGATAGGATCTTGCCAAGTTGCCAAGGCTGGCCTTGAATTTGCAACCTCCTGCCTCAGCCTCCTGAGTCACTGAGATTACAAGTATGCACCACTGCCAGTAGCTAAAATTTCCTTCCCTTTTAAGCCTCAATAATATTACACTGTATGTATATATTATGTACAATTACACTTGGGTTGCTTGTACTATTTTTTTTTTTTCAGTATTTATTTTTTAGTTGTAGGTGGACACAACATCTTTATTATTTATCTTATGTGGTGCTGGGGAATGAACCCAGGGCCTTGCCTGTGCTAGGCGAGCGCTCTACCACTAAGCCACAACCCCAGCCCTGCTTGTACCTTTTAGGGATTGTGAATAACACTGCTGTGAACAAGGGCATACAAATATCTGTATAAGTCCTTACCTTTCACTTCTTCTAGGTGAATATCTAGAAGCAGAATTCTAGACCAGATAATAATTCTTTTTGTTGTTGTTAAGTTTTTATTTTTTAGTTGTAGATGGACACAATACCTTTATTTATTTATATGAGATGCTGAGGATTGACCCCAGTGCCTCACATGTGCAAGGCAAGTGCTCTATCACTGAGCCACAACCCCAGCCCGGAGATCATATAATAATTCTACATTTAATTTTTTGAGGTCCTAAAAAATCCCTACGCTATCTCAACTAAACTGAGGGGACAGAAACTTTTAGTCCTGGACACAGTGATGGCAGGAAAAGGGAGTAAATATATTGATAATTATTATGACATATCAATATAAAGATTTTTGTCTAGAAATATACCATTACATTTTGTTAATTATTAGTGTGACTGAATATCTTTCATGGTTTTAAAATCTCAAATTTCTAAGTATGCAGAATAAAACTTGACAAAATTGGGGGGATGGGGATGTAGCTCAGTGGTAGAGCACTTGCCTTCCATGTGTGAGGCCCTGGGTTCAATTTCCAGAACCCCTGGATACATAAATAAAATAAAAAAAGAATTTCAGAAGACAAAGGGTTAACTAATATGGTCAAACTTTTCAGTTCTTTTCACCTCGCAAGTAGGAATGAAGCAAATAAACTTAACCTTTTCTAAATTCCTCTAAACATTATTTTCTCTATATGCCTCTTATTAAATTCCATATATACATTTGTTTCATGTTATCTATTTCACATGCTACATTTGTTTTCGCTAATTAGAGTCTCTCTTACCCCTAGGTATGTATATATTCAGCAAAGGCTAAACAAGTATTTTCTGCCTTGCATTTACAAGGTTATGTATACACTTTGAGTGATCAAAGGTCCTAGTTTCAACGGCTTTGATCAAAGGAACCTAAATTAGCTTCCATAGCAATAACTTCTTCACAGACACTGGACTGACTGGTTACTCACTTCCTGATCCCGTAAGTTTGTATCTCCAGCAAATATAACCGTGGCTGACTCTGGCGCCTCTTGCATTTTCTTTAATACCATTTGTAACTGACTCATTCGTTCCTTGGCATGTCCTCTGGTGCTCTCCAAATGGGAAGTCATAAGGTAAAGGTCATTTTCAGACAAACTCACCTGCAACAAGATGCATAATTATTAAAATGACCAATGATCACTAATGCTGGACGATGGTAACAAAATTGCACACTATTCAATCAACTGGTAAATATTTTACTATTCCTCTTGATGGAAGAAGTGTACTGTACTAGCCCTGGCACCAAGAAAGCTGTTTAGCAAGCACATGCTACCTGCACTTCC